TTGAAGGTGTTCCGCCGCTACTGCCTCCCACCGGAGCGAGTAAACCTGTATCAATCAACGACTTTACCACCGTTGTACGTCATAATGTTCTCATCACGCCAAATCAAATACCATCCGGAACCAAAATGGTCCAGTATAAAATCTGACCTACCAAAGTTATGATCAAGTTCAGATAAAATCAAAGTGGGATGATAATAGCAGGTGTTCTTAAATCGATGCCGAGTCAGCAGAAACCATTCACTTCACATGCAAGAGAAATACCTTGTGCTGATGTTTATATAAAAACAGACATGTAGATTGTAGGTCCATAAAAGGGAGCAGAGATCCTTCATCGTTGCATCAATGTTGAGGGGGCAGCGCCCACTCGGCTCTCAAGTTGGGGGGGGGGCAAGCGCCCCCACTGCCCCCCCCCCCGGTTCTCCGGGGTCTATGCAGTGAACGACGCTACAAAAAAAAAACATGTGACACCTAATAGCAGGCACTATAAACATGCGCTCATACGTATCCCGTCAGACGACGGGGATCGGGGGTAGTACTATGCAATATACATTAACACAGAACTATTTCGTGCTTTAAGATGCATAACATCACATTTTCACCAGCATTCTGAGTGCCAGACAAGCCAACAGCAAGGCGTCATTTCGGTAAAATGCATTTAATGATGATCGTAAGCTCACAAAGCATAGCGGGCGTGTTAGTTCAAAACATTGCCGCTAGGGGCGCTGAGGTCGCTAATGCTGAGAGATAGGCCAAAGTGTCGGCGGTCGGCGCCGCATGGGTGTTAATATTTGGGGGAAATAAAAAATGTCACACGGTTTCTACGTGTCTGGGGCACGATAAAATCAGTGGAGCACCATGTTTTGCGAAAAAAGTGCCCAAAATGACACACCCTAGTGTATAGACAAACATTGGTCTCTTAAGAAGCTTCTAGACTCAAAACGACTGAACCGATCTTCAAGTTTCTAGTGTCAGTCGATGCAGAATTGATGTGGCTACAACATGTTAGAACCGCATTTTCGTCGAACTTCTACAACTGCCCACCAGGTGGCCCAAAAGTATGTCAAATTTGGCGCCATCTGGCGGCGAGACCAAAAACGTGAAGACCTTGAATTTCCTATGTGTTGTAGATACATTCAAGGACTATCGAATGCTGGTAACCGGGTTTCTGTATCGTTCTTAGTTTAGGCAGGAGAGACCGTTAAATTGACCTCTGCATTGGCTCGTATGCCTAAAGACCACTTACGGGGTGTATAGCCAAATAATGGTCTCTTTAGAAGCTTCTAGACTCAAAACGACTGAATTGATCTTCAAGTTTCTAGTGTCATTCGATGCAGAATTGATGTAACTACAACATGTTAGAACCGCATTTTCGTCAAGCTTCTACAACTGCCCACCAGGTGGCGCAAATATATGTCAACTTTGGCGTCATCTGGCGGCCAGACCAAAAACGTCAAGACCTTGAATTTCCTATGTGTTGTAGATACATTCAAGGACTATCGAATGGTGGTAACCGGGTTTCTGTATCTTTCTTAGTTTACGCAGGAGAGACCGTTAAGTTGACCTCTGCATTGACTCGTATGCCTAAAGACCACTTACGGGGTGTATAGCCAAACATTGGCCTCTTTAGAAGCTTCTAGACTCAAAACGACTGAATTGATCTTCAAGTTTCTAGTGTCAGTCGATGCAGAATTGACGTGGCTACAACATGTTAGAACCGCATTTTCGTCAAGCTTCTAGAACTGCCCACTAGGTGGCGCAAATATATGTCAAGCTTGGTGCCATCTGGCGGCCAGACTAAAAACGTCAAGACCTAGAATTTCCTGTAAGTTGTAGATACATTCAAGGACTATCGAATGGCGGTAACAGGGTTTCTGTATCTTTCTTAGTTTAGGCAGGAGAGACCGTTAAGTTGACCTCTGTATTGACTCGTATGCCTAAAGACCACTAAAGGGTGTATAGACAAACATTGGTCTCTTAAGAAGCTTCTAGACTCAAACGACTGAACCGATCTTCAAATTTCTAGTGTCAGTCGATGCAAAATTGACGTGGCTACAACATGTTAGAACCGCATTTTCGTCAAGCTTCTAGAACTGCCCACCAGGTGGCACAAATATATGTCAACTTTGGTGTCATCTGGCGGCGAGACCGAAAACGTGAAGACCTTGAATTTCCTATGTGTTGTAGATACATTCAAGGACTATCGAATGGTGGTAACCGGGTTTCTGTATCTTTCTTAGTTTACGCAGGAGAGACCGTTAAGTTGACCTCTGCATTGACTCGTATGCCTAAAGACCACTTACGGGGTGTATAGCCAAACATTGGCCTCTTCAGAAGCTTCTAGACTCAAAACGACTGAATTGATCTTCAAGTTTCTAGTGTCAGTCGATGCAAAATTGACGTGGCTACAACATGTTAGAACCGCATTTTCGTCAAGCTTCTAGAACTGCCCACCAGAAGCTTCTAGACTCAAAACGACTATGTGCACGCATGCGTATATCTGGAAAAGTCTTTGATGTCGGTCAAAAGGAGCACTATTTTCGTGTTCAGGAGGTCAAGGAGCATCATTCCTGTGATTTTGAGCGAAATCGAAAGGGTCCGCCCAACGTGCCATATGCAACATATGCAATTTGAATGTGCACGCATGCGTATATCTGGAAAAGTCTTTGATGTCGGTCAAAAGTAGCACTGTTTTCGTGTTCAGGAGGTCAAGGAGCATCATTCCTGTGATTTTGAGCGAAATCGAAGGGGTCCGCCCAACGTGCCATATGCAACATATGCAATTTGAATGTGCACGCATGCGTATATCTGGAAAAGTCTTTGATGTCGGTCAAAAGGAGCACTATTTTCGTGTTCAGGAGGTCAAGTAGCATCATTCCTGTGATTTTGAACGAAATCGAAGGGGTCCGCCCAACGTGCCATATGCAACATATGCAATTTGAATGTGCACGGATGCGTATATCTGGAAAAGTCTTTGATGTCGGTCAAAAGGAGCACTATTTTCGTGTTCAGGAGGTCAAGGAGCATCATTCCTGTGATTTTGAGCGAAATCGAAGGGGTCCGCCCAACGTGCCATATGCAACATATGCAATTTGAATGTGCACGAATGCGTATATCTGGAAAAGTCTTTGATGTCGGTCAAAAGGAGCACTATTTTCGTGTTCAGGAGGTCAAGGAGCATCATTCCTGTGATTTTGAACGAAATCGAAGGGGTCCGCCCAACGTGCCATATGCAACATATGCAATTTGAATGTGCACGGATGCGTATATCTGGAAAAGTCTTTGATGTCGGTCAAAAGGAGCACTATTTTCGTGTTCAGGAGGTCAAGGAGCATCATTCCTGTGATTTTGAGCGAAATCGAAGGGGTCCGCCCAACGTGCCATATGCAACATATGCAATTTGAATGTGCACGCATGCGTATATCTGGAAAAGTCTTTGATGTCGGTCAAAAGGAGCACTATTTTCGTGTTCAGGAGGTCAAGGAGCATCATTCCTGTGATTTTGAACGAAATCGAAGGGGTCCGCCCAACGTGCCATATGCAACATATGCAATTTGAATGTGCATGCATGCGTATATCTGGAAAAGGCTTTGATGTCGGTCAAAAGTAGCACTGTTTTCGTGTTCAGGAGGTCAAGGAGCATCATTCCTGTGATTTTGAGCTAAATCGAAGGGGTCCGCCCAACGTGCCATATGCAACATATGCAATTTGAATGTGCACGCATGCGTATATCTGGAAAAGTCTTTGATGTCGGTCAAAAGGAGTACTATTTTCGTGTTCAGGAGGTCAAGGAGCATCATTCCTGTGATTTTGAACGAAATCGAAGGGGTCCGCCCAACGTGCCATATGCAACATATGCAATTTGAATGTGCACGCATGCGTATATCTGGAAAAGTCTTTGATGTCGGTCAAAAGTAGCACTGTTTTCGTGTTCAGGAGGTCGAGGAGCATCATTCCTGTGATTTTGAGCGAAATCGAAGGGGTCCGCCCAACGTGCCATATGCAACATATGCAATTTCAATGTGCACGAATGCGTATATCTGGAAAAGTCTTTGATGTCGGTCAAAAGGAGCACTATTTTCGTGTTCAGGAGGTCAAGGAGCATCATTCCTGTGATTTTGAACGAAATCGAAGGGGTCCGCCCAACGTGCCATATGCAACATATGCAATTTGAATGTGCACGGATGCGTATATCTGGAAAAGTCTTTGATGTCGGTCAAAAGGAGCACTATTTTCGTGTTCAGGAGGTCAAGGAGCATCATTCCTGTGATTTTGAGCGAAATCGAAGGGGTTCGCCCAACGTGCCATATGCAACATATGCAATTTGAATGTGCACGCATGCGTATATCTGGAAAAGTCTTTGATGTCGGTCAAAAGGAGCACTATTTTCGTGTTCAGGAGGTCAAGGAGCATCATTCCTGTGACTTTGAACGAAATCGGAGGGGTCCGGCAAGTTCACTTTAGGTGGAGAAATCTGAATATCACTTGTATTTGCCTCTTGGCTTTGCTCAATAGGTTTATCGACTGTTTTTCGCCCTTTGGTCTAACAATGCCTCTGGTGCTCAAGTATATTGTTATTGCAGTATGTATAGCTATTGTCCTTCATAAATACGAGGCTGTCACGTGTAAAACGACTCCAAAAAGTGAGAAAAATTGCATGACCTTGAACGACCTTGAACTTTAGAGACTTCTCCTGAGAAAACTATGCGACCGCGTTTGATGCAAATTAGTTTTTTGTAAAGAACTACTGAGTCTTAATCATTTCTGAAATTTTCTTGAAATTTGATGAGGTCCGATTTTTCCGGGAAGTTTACTAACCAGAATATTTTACTAGTAAAACAAACGTGAATTACTTGGAAAATACTTAATGTCGGTAAATAAAAAGATGATTTTTGCAGTTAGGAGCTCATGGTCTATCTGCTGTGCAATTTTCAGCCAAATCGAAGGGGTCCGCGAATGTGCACGCGAATCTGAATGTGAATATGATGCAACTATATGCACGTGCATTCTGAGTATTTCTTCAGCAAGGCACATTGACATTCCACAGCAATGCACTTTTTTGGGACGAGACATGAAATAATTTGGCCTAGGGCGATTATTGGGCTGTAAAAGCTCCTTATTTGTTCTTGTCTCAACTCAAGGTACAGAACTGCTATTCCAGTTAAAAACCCCATGTTAAAATTGAACTATTTTGTTTAAGTCATAAATATGCTCCTTTTTGCTTAAGACAAATACCTAGTACCTATCTGAGAAAAAATGCACTTACAGTTTTGTCTAATCGATTAAAGCGTGTCATGAAAATGTGGTGACTTAGTCCATGCAAGGATGAAATTAATTTAATCAGGAATAATTCACATTGTACTGGTACCTACACCTAGTACACCTGGTGACATTTGCTTTATCAGGTTCAGTATTAACATTTGTGATGGCTAAAATGCTTGCTAAGTAAGAAAAAAGTATTTGAAGCCAAAGCACTCTTGAAAAAAAATGGGCTACAGTGACTGACTTTTTGACTAACCCTGAAACCTAAATTACTTGTGCTCTGAATTTTATCATATTCCTAATTCTCTTAGTAAAAAGAAGTATAGTAAAGTTTGTCTTATGCTGTCACAATGACTGAGGGCCATCTCAGTCCTGGCAAGCCCAGAGATTTGGACTTGCCAAGCAGATTGTCAAGCCTTTGTGGCACAGAAGCATCTACTATATAGGAGGGACTCTTATTCCTGCTTGCTTTGGAGACAAACTCCCTCTGAGCTACCGAGCTGCTCTTTCACTGAGCTACTTTGACAAGAACCGCACATTTCATTATAATTTTGATCTTGTGTTATAACAATAATGTGTCAATGTTTTTGCATGCTACATTTTCAGATATAGTCGCTAAAAATCCTCAGAATGTGGTCGTCAGTTGTGGCCTTCATCAAAGGCAGCAGCAGTGTCGTGCAGCTGGCCTGCGTCGATTTTGGCATCCAATGGGGCCTTTGGACAGTGTCGGCGGCACTGCACACTGAGAAGTTCTATGATCTAGCTGGTAAGATGGCTAGCATAAGCATAAGTCATATAATGAAACTGGTAAAGCAGTTGAGTAGATTCAAGACTCAGATTTTTGCTGCCTGTTGATCTTTTAGCTTAAAATATTTGAACTGAGCTCTTTTGTTTGTCACAAGCTAGATGTTGTAACTCCCACATATTATGATCCATGCGTTGAGCTATTCAACTGTGTACATCTGCTTCCCATCTCATCAGTTTTCTGTTCCTCGCTTGTTTCTTACTGACGCCTCCGACGGGACAGGTTCGTCGACGTTCGCTGCGCTGGTATACCTGGCGTTCGATTGGTCTCGCCAGCAGTCGGGGCCGCAGTGGCTGCAGCGGAACATGGTGCTCGTCTGGGCGGCGCGGCTCGGCCTCTTCCTGTTCGTGCGCGTGTTGAAAGAGGGCGGCGACCGGCGCTTCAACCGGGCTAGGGACAGCCCGGCCACCCTGTTCGCCTTCTGGACCATGCAGGGTGGGTGACTGGGCCGCGGTGTAGGTCTTTCTCTCCGCACGGGGCTCGGACCAGTCTGGCCCGGCGAGGGTAGGGCTCAGAGGAGACGTATACTGAAATGGAGTAGTGGACGGGAGGAGGTTATGCACATCCCTGACCTCTACTGTACTGTCCCAGAGGTAATATGGAAAATTATGACATTGCAGGTGATCGATTCGTGGCGTGATTGTACTGCTCCCATCTCCCCAGGCGTGTGGGTGATTGTGACACTGCTGTCCTTCCCCCTCATCACCTGGCCTTAGAGTAACAATGACACTATTTTATTCCCCAGGTGTGTGGGTGATTGTGACTCTTCTGCCTACCCTGGTGATGATGGACTCTGAGACGCGTCGCCAGCCGTCCACCCAGCACTATGTTGGCTGGACCATGTGGGCCGTCGGCTTTGTCTTCGAGGTCATTGCCGACTATCAGAAGTCGGTCTTCAGAAATGACCCGGCCAACAAGGTAGGTATTTGGATGAAGCTGCAGGGTGGCCAAGAAATATTGCCATCGTCTGTGGGGCGGTGCTCTGGGTGATGGATAGGCATTACTCGTTAGCATCGCTAATGCTGTTACAAGTCACTGGACTATCGATTCTGGTTCCGACACTTTTATCGCGTCGTAAATATTTTCCTTTCTTTTTGTCATGAATTTAGTGCAAATAGCTATGAGATTGTGTGCCGAAGTGCTGAGCTCTTGCCGACTGCAGAGTCAACAGAGCACCTTACATCGAGTGTACCGCTATGTGTAGTACTTACACCGTGACATTTATCGAAACATTCTAAGAGCGAGCTGCACCCTCTAACCTCGTCTCCCTTCCTCAGGGCCAATTCATCGACACGGGCCTCTGGTCCATCAGCCGTCACCCCAACTATTTCGGCGAGATCCTGCTCTGGTTCGGCCTGTACGTGTCGGCGTCAGTCGGCTGGAGCGGCAGGCGCCACCTGCTCGTACTGTGTCCCCTGTTCAATTACCTGCTCATCAGTCGACTGAGCGGGGTACCACCTCTAGAGAAGGCGGCCGCCAAACGCTGGGGCTCTGACCCGCGCTACCGGCGGTACGCCTCCACTGTGCCAGAGCTGGTACCGTTCATTGGCTTCACGTGAGTGGTCGGACGGAGCCGGGTTTATGTGGGTGATTCGTGGCGATTAGGGTTGGGGAAGAGAATACTGATTATAAATCAGAGATCGTGAGCAAAGCTCGACTGTCAGGGCCTGTTCAGAGAGGGGCCTCAGTATCACCTCAGTATCAAATGGTATATTACTGAAGCGGGCTGTCCAATGGTCAGTAATTATTTTGTATATTATATACCCTGCCATGTGAGTTTGTTAATTTTAACGCCTATATGAATGATTTCGACACGTATTCGACGTGAAACAGAGTAAAGGGCGCCTAAGCAGTCTGAGAGGAAGTCCTTTTGCGTGGTGCATACCTCAGGGTGTCAGCCTAATGTATGTTATAACACAGCTTGTGTGCTGATCACAGCACCTCCAGAGATTGTACAAGTGAAATGACAATAAGGCAGTTATCTATTTGTGACATGTATGCCAAGGATTGTGCTCGTAAAGCTGCTGCTACGCATCCGATAGGGCGCTATTACTCAAAGTTGAACCTGAAGCTATGCACTTAATTGACTTCGTTATGCTTTGCGCCGTCCCGATTTTGAAAGATTATAATACACGAGTTTTGGGTAATTTTATTTTTATCCTAAGAGAGTGGAACAAAACTTTCTTCTGCGATCATTTCCGTGTAAAACGTGTCGATGCAAATTGCTCAGAAGTATAATGTTCACATACAACGTTACAGGAACATTTACGTACTGACGGTAAGTCAGGGGCATGTAAATGTTTTCAATTTTTTTAATTACCCAGTCTGTACTTTTTCTGAAAAGAGACATGACGTGTCAACAAAATAAAATCAGTTTATTGCAGCCAAAGGTCGAGAATTAAAAGTAAAATGGTCAATTCGGGAGGATTTTCTCATAGTAGATGGTCACGGCGCGTATGATTTCATGGTTTCTTCGGTCCGAGTTTCTGCGTTTCTGTTCCAAGCGCCGCGCGTTTCATGGGAGTTGAAGAGTATAAGAGGAGTCCGCGGCGGCTATCCTAGTGCGATATGTGGCGAGGAAAATTCAACCCGCCCTGTCCAGCACTCCAGCCGATGGTCCCTAGTCGAGGTCATCCTTCCTAGCGCCTGGCGTTCGCATTGTAGCGCGCTTTTAGCTTATTCGGCGCTCCAAATGACTCTACTCGTTTCGCTCGTGCCGTTGCTGCGTTAGCGTGAGCTCTGAAGGGTCGCTGTTGGTGGCTTCATGGTATCACTCGTTAGTTCCTGAGGTCACCACGAGGTGGCGCTGCGCTTGCCGGCCGCCAGGCGCTCAGTATTAGTTCCCTGAGTCGCCGCCAGGTTTCAGGGTCCGGCAGCGCTCTGAGAAAGGTCATACATATGGTCACCCGGGCCTGACTGTTGCTCCAGCTGCACCTCTGCGCCGAGCTCGGCTGCCAGTGCCGACACTCCACTCTCTAGCGGCACCGTGCGGCGCGGCTTGTCCACGCGCGAGAGCATGTCTGCCACGGCCATCAGCGGGTCCTCGCGCTGGATACTCCACTCGAGTCGGTAGGTGAAGCCGTGCTGGCGGCTCAGTTCACCCAGCGCCGCTTCCATCTGAACTCGCGCCGGGCTGCCGCCGCGCCTCACACACGGGTGATCACAGCGGAGCAGTACACTCTTACCGGCCCAGTCGGCCGCCCAGAGCCGCGCCGCTGCCACCAGGTTCAGCAGCTCCACGCGACACGAGTCGCGGCTGGTAGCGCCGTAGTGAGCCGCAGGCAGCGCGCGGTGGAAGTACCGACAGCGGCCGGCCGCCCGAGACCACCACAAACCACCGGCGCCCTCGTTTGAGACGTCCACTACGCAGACAGCGTCCTCTTCTGGACGCAGTGTGGGACCATCGCTCATACAGGGGACTGGGCCAGCCGCGTTGGCGACGGGAGCGGTGCGGTAGAGGTGATTGACGGGAGATTTAGGAAGAAAGAGTGAAGACGCGAGTTGGATGAGCCGATGGGATATGCGGATGATTTTGCCGAGTCAAAAGGGTACACGAATACGAAGTTTGCACGAAGTGTACGAAGTTTGCGGAATTTAGCTTTGTAGCGCAATATGTCAAATATGTTAAGAGTACAACTCTTGAATTTACGCTGGTTCAAAAAGTAAATATCAAACAACCCCTAAATTTAGAATGTTGGCACTGTTAATTTGTTTTTTGATGTGAAATATTTTTAAAAATTTTGAGGTCGGAAAAATAGGTGAACGAGATTCATCACGTGGCTGTTTCGCAGAGATCTTCCGTACATCACGAACACGAACGCCAAAACCCAACCGTGACTCCACCGGACTGCCTCCCTTAGCGGATTTTTCTTTTTTTCAGAGACACGAACGTTGTTATCATTGGAAGAGGAAAATCACAACACGTCAAGAAATCGAGCACAGTTTACACTACAATAATAATGTTGATTGTGGACATATGTTACAGCTAAAATTGCCAGTGCCCGGGCTTGGAGCAGCTTCATATCAAATAGCGCACTTTCGAGTCTTGCATAAATTTTATATACGCACCCCATTTCCATAGACTACGAGCGAGAGGCATCATGTTCACGCACATCATAAAACAACGACGTACAAACGCGGGGTATATTATAAAACATCACAATATGTAACAAAATCGAATTAGTGAGTCGGTGATTGATGATAAATCGGTGATTAGTATAGAAGTAACAAACAGCGCCGCCTTGCGCCCTGACTAGAAAACACAACAGGCTCGTGACAGCAACGTCCTACGGGGTCACTCACACGCACACACGGAAGACACACCACCGCACTCGATTGCCCGCGGAGGGCCCAACTTCGGTAGACTTTCGGGCGCAAACGCGTCGGCCCTGCACCATCGCAACAAGCCCTTATCGGGAAGACCTGATCAAATCACGGCGAAGACCATACAGCGGGGCCCACGGGTCACTCGTAAGAGGCATTGGCACTTGGACAGGCACTCTGAAAGGCGGGGATGGGGGAGTAGCGAGGGGTCGTATGCCGCGAGGGGGGGGGCGCTACTCTTCATCATCGCTGCCAGCCTGGTCAGCTGGCTTGATCAGCTTATGCTCCGCCGCCTTGGCCAGGCACTTCTCTGCATAGTCGATTATCTTCTTCCTTGTATCGGTCTCTGTGGGAACCAAGCCTAACGTGAATTGAAGCATGACCGGGACGAAAATACAGATTAAACAGATGGTAAACGATACACAAACGGCGTGATTTGCGGTGAAAGGACGCACCAGCAACGGAGTTATATGGCACTAAGTTCTGACCTATCTTCCTCAGTGCCAGGGGTTTAAAATCACCTGAAGCCCAGATGCCTCAATAAACGAAAAAAAAAAAAAACGCCAGAGCAGTCTAGTTAAGGGGAGCCGTCGCCGATAACTACATAGATCCTCGCTAGCGTTTGACAGCGGTGGATGGTCTTACCGGGCGGCAGTTTGGTCAGCGCCATCAGGATCTCTGTGATGTCCGTCTCCACGATTTTCTCCGCCACCTCCTTGTCGGCGCTGAGCATGTTGAGCGTGCAGGCCACGCCGCGCAGCGTGATCTCCTCACGCGGGTTGGCCAGCATTAGACGGAACATCTCGTGCCACGAGGCCACGTCCAGAACCTGGGAGCGGTACCGAGAGGTTGTTGTGTTAAGAGTGTGGGATGGCGCAGTTTGGAGATAGGGGCTCACAGATCAAACACTGCGAACAGCCAGGGAGGTGATATCAAAAGATAGGCAGTAGACAGAAGCACTGGATAGGCATTCAGAAGCATCCCGAGCCAAGAAACACTTCGCTCTTTTTAGCAATTCATTCATGGCACTTGATCGCCAGAACACAACATGAACTCTACCAACATTTACCTCTTCATTCAACCGCCCACAATTCCCGTCCCTCGTATCCCACCGCCACCTATGCACATTTTACACACTCCTCCAGCCGGTAACGATCCCATACCATCCTAAGTTCTATCCCTACCGCCCAATCGTCGTACCTTTTTACAGATGGTCGGGCTGACCGAGGTAGCCATAGCCAGCGCTCCGGCTGCCGCCTGGCTCGTGTCTACGTCTTCCTCTCCGACCAGCAGCACCAGGAACTTGACGCGGTCGTTCGTACCCTCCATCATCTTGATGTACTCCTCCGTGCAGACCAGGTTGCAGATACACTGGGTGGCGGCACGGCGCAGCATCTCGTGCTCCTCGTACATGTAGCTCTCGATGGAGGGCACGCCCTTCTCCTTGATGATCCTGTAAGAGAGAAGGCCCGGAGTCAGTTGGCCGCGGAACAAACGTGTGGCGGAGCAAGCACCACCGTAACACAAACTGAGATAGGCACGAACTAAAAAAAAAAAACTAGCAAACGCGATATCTTTTACCCCTCCCCCGAATAATCCATTTTGGTTTTTGCTACATGCAACGGCTACATCATGCATGCCTGCTTTATTGTCAGGAAGCCTAAAAATTTTCAAGGCATATGTTTATTGTTTATTAATGAACTTCCAGCTGCCTAATCATTTGCGGACGGTGTGATTCCTCATTTGCAGATAGACCTCACCTTTGCTGGCGGCCTTCCACTACACGAACGTATCTCACCTTTTGCGGACGGTGTCGTTCATTCCTGCCAGGTTACAGAGGGCCATCAGCGCCTCGAAGTTCTCCAGAGCCTGGCACTCGGGGTGGAGCAGCGACAAGATCGGTCGAATCACCTCGCACGCCTGCCAGACAGCGGCGGGATGACGTTCACAAACAACTATCACAAACATCCTCGCACGTGACGAGACGCGGGGGGGGGGCGGGGAGGGGCGCCGAGAGAACGGGGCAGGGGACGCAGAGGGTACGAAGTGGACACGGGAGGAGCGCTTTGGGTACAAATGGTCACTTACTACCCACACTACTGCTAAACAGCCATTCAAGCGGACCGTTTACGGTTATGGCCGCGGCTGCACGGGACACTGTCCGGAATCTGCTCCCACAATGAGGACCCGATTATCTATAGACGACGTGAATCAATGATAGCGTACGCAACACAAACCAGATCCTGAGCCTGCTATTTGACTGACCGCTGCATGCTGCAATTCCAATGCCAGCTGGACATGCTTTCACGTCCTCCAGTTAGCATTCCGGCTTAAACGCATTGCGCTCATCTCAATACGATGCAACGAACGCTCGGTAGATCCCCGCATGCATTATTCAGCCAGCAATCCACTGGTAACTCGAGGCGGCATATCGAACTTCGCGTAATCATAGCTGAAACTGACCACAATCCCACAATGGTCCCTACACACACTCCTTTCACACTCGCTGAACACTGAACCTATTGTAATATCAAGCTCCCCGCCTAACACCGTGGCAATCCTCCCTTGGAAGGAAGGGATTCCCCGCCGCCGCGCAGACCGTACCCTCTGTCCCGGAAAGGCCGTCGCCGGGTCGATGGTGATGGCTATCCTGCTGAGCGCCTGTGCCGCCTGCTGCTTGCCCTTCTTGGTGCCTTCGAGGGCCAGGCCGATGAGTGCGCGTGCACCGCCCTGCTGTACCACCATACCACGCAGCTGCTGGTGCTTGCACAGCGCGTTGAACACTCTGGAAATGATAGGGACGGAGAGACATGACGGTTAAATGGACAGTCGGGCTCAAAAGCCTGAAACAGACTCTTTCCGCAGTCAGGAAATCGCATGCGAGAGCCTATTCAAATACATGGAAGCACGCTCGCATCAATCGCACGCACCTCCCGCAAGCGATTGATGCGAGAAGAATTACAATGTATTTGAATAGGCTCTCGCATGCGATTTCCTGAACGCGGAAAGAGTCAGTTTCAGCCTAAAAGGCAGTACGACCGAACACTCCGACATTAGCACGGGATACAGGTAATACTTGGTCCAGCAGATTTTCGCATAAAATACCGCACTGACCTAACGATAGGGCACAAGAGTGTAAGACGGACGGCAAAGCCGGAGACAGCGGACGCTTCACAATGTTCTCTGAGTTCTGACTTCGTTACACTCAACGACAGTGTATGCAACACCGACACGGAGGGTAGCTTCGAAGTCAGTTGGAGTCGCTAACGTGTAAATCAAAGTCCTCAAAGTCCTCGTGTATGTACCCCGCTGGACAGCAATGTCACTCACCGTGCGATAAGTTCGCGGCTGTTCTGGCTCTCGGTCTTGGAGAGCGCCACCAGTGCGCTGGTCACTCCCTCGTGGCACAGCACCTGCCGTGGAACGATTAGTCAGCGACGGCCGACAAACTTTATCGCGGCAAACGCACGTTATGGTTACGATAAACCGCAAATGTGAACAGATGCGAGATGTGAGATGTGTATGATCAAGCCAAATGCATATTGCATATTCATGAAAAAAACTTACTTTTAATCATAAATCACAGCAGAAAATCTATCCAATATACTGTCAAAAAGAACAGCAATCACTGAAATACTCAGCTCCTTGTATTTCCCATCGTCTCTCGCTAGTCAAACCGTTAAGTCCCATCGACACATTCACTCTCATCAAGCGTCGCTATCGTGTCTCCCCCGGCTCACCTCGTGTCGTTTGATGACAAAGTCCTCGTCATCCAGTTCGTGCTCCTCAGGGATGTGCTGTTTGGCAAACTTGGCGAGCTCGATCATCTCTGGGATCACCTCCTGTGTGTCGTAGCTGTTGGTGAGGTTCACCAGCGTGGTCACCACGCCGTACACCACCGAGTGATCACCACTCTGTCGGCAGAGACGGGCACCAGGTCAGGTCACCACCAGATCACATCAGATCACCAGGCTAGGGTACGAGGTAAGAAACACGCTAAACCATGAGGTGAGGACACGGGGTTCGGTCATACGAGTATGTTGAGGTCAGCAAGACAGGTCATCAAGTCATTCATTGGATCCTTCATCCCTTCATTAGGTCACATTTTTGGGTCACAGACAATGTCACGGCGCAAGACAGCAGCAAGTCATGATGCTCATCAGGTTCCCAAAATACATAGGTATCTCGGGATGTGCGGTTAGCCGGATATTCAGATAAAACGAAATCAATACGGATAAATGCTGTGCATTTCTGCATAGCCGCATTGTATGGCGCCTAGTACAAATGAAGTTGTGCGTTATCATCCCGTAAATTGCCTTTATTCCCTATCAGCGGATAAAATCAAATGATTGTTTGATCGACAGACAATTAGTTACTCATCAATGCATTGTAGCTGTGCCAGATCTGCTTGATGATTTATCACGCCTTGCAACCCATCGAACAACATCACTAAGCCAGCTGGGGCAGCCTAAGGCCCTCGCGGCGTGCTCCGCGCCAGATTCGTCGGCAAATTTCGGCCAATTTGGGTGTGAGCGGCGCCTGCGAGGATGTTTGTTTCGGTTGGGAAACATCACCACGCAGACTACAGCCAATTCGAGCCAATCCCAGAAGGGCAGATCAGCCTTCTGCGGGAGACGGTGAATGGACGGCGCAAAAACGGCCGCTCCCAGCAGACAGCGCCGGCGCATCTTTGCGCGTCACGCAATGATGGCTGCGCGCCGGCGCGGCGGTCACTTGGGCCCTGTTCCACGGCTAACCGACTCTATCAGACATTGGCGCTTGGGTGTCATGGAGACGTAAGCAGAATTGGCAATTCTGCTTACGCTTCCATAGAAATCGAGCGCTAATTCTGGTAGCGCCGGACAGCGCCATGCCGGGAAACAAAGCCCCGGCCGCCAGAGACTGCCCGTCGGTACTCCAAGGGAAGCGAGTCGCGCCATGCTCTGTGCCCATTTGGGTCGATTTGCACGCCGGTCGGTCTTTAAAAGGGGGAGGGGCGACTGCCGACTGGAGCGGGTCACCTGCCGTCGCCCCGGGCGTCGAGCAGCTCGTCTGCCGCCAGGCGGGTGAAGATGCACAGCGGTGATACCATCAGAGACGAGTGCTCAGCGATCAGCGACGAACACAAAAAGACCCGACCGGTCGCCCGATGGAGCACACACGCATGACCGCGCCGCAAAAAGCGGACAGCGTGACCTTAGCATGCCACGCCGACCCATCATCCTGACCCGTCAATGCCGCTACGGCGCGCTTCACGCTCGAGCGAATGCCACCGGTCACTCAACGGCAACTTACACCGGCGATAAAACGACGATCAGTGGCGGACGGCCTCAAGTGTGATTAATGACGCACACATACGGAATCACTCAGCAGGGCATAAACATTGGATAACGGTAATGAACTAGGCATTGCGAGCAGATATGTGATCAATAGGCATGACATAAATCAATCGATGATCATAAACGTAAGTGAGACACGTTTGCGGACGCCCACGTCAGTGAAGTGCAACAAAACGATGGACGATGGTCTGGGACAAAACGATGATCGGAACGATAGTGACGTGGGGTTAGGAAGCTCTCAGTGCCATCTCATCTCATCTCATCTCATACTGTATTAAGGACATCCGCAATATACTTGCGGCTATTACTGCCTTTCGTCACGTGATTAAACAAATGAACGTCAATCGGCAATGGGAGAGTAGGCACAAAATGACAACGATCAAACATACAACTGTCACACGCACGCACACACATACACACAAAAACTCAGTCGCGTCTTAAATCGGTTCCAACTCTGAGGTGCCGCCTGAGGCGGCAGCCAAACAGGTGTGGAGGTAGCCGCGGCAGGTCGGGCGGCAGCGCGTTATAAGCGGCCGGCCCGCGGCACTGAAACCGCCTCCTCGGTCCTCCCAATCTCGGTGCGGCACCGCGGCACGTGGAGCAGGTGGTCCTGTCGCGTGACCACGTCCCGGTCGCGGCCGCGGGCCTCAGCCACAGTGGCGAGACCGGCTGCCAGCTCCTCGGGTTCCCCGCTGCGGAGTGCGGCGTACCTTGTGCAGCAGGCTGAGAGTGTGGTACGACACTAGCTGATCTGCGCTGAGCCACTCCAGCCGCCGCAGCAGGTCAGATGCGTGGTCATACTTCCTGCGACCGAATGACGGGCCAATGACGGGCGATCATGGCTGATGGGATGGCGGGTAATTAGCAACGAACTATGAATACACTTCAAACCATCGATCCAAAAGAAACCAATGCCAAAGCTTCCAGAGGTTTAAGCACAGACTCCGAAAATTAAAATTCACGTAGGTAATGACGCCGAAAAACAACATCCAAGCGACACTCGCAGAGTGTGTCGAGGACGTGGCTGTCATCGGGAAGCGGAACCGCTCACCGCTCAACCATTGTGCTTCACGATAAGTAGGTCCGGTCCAGCCAAGGGATCACCAGCGTGGAATGGCCGCAGAGACAGTTGCTCAAAGCGATAGAGACATGCGATACAGCAACCACGACGGTGGCCCATTACAAATGTGTCCCGGCCGTCACTTTTTCGGCCCCCTGCGCCGGGTCGTGTCATGTCTTACGCACAGCTGGACGACATCGGTCCCACGTGCCTTCACGAGGCCGCTCACTGACGGAATAATGATACGTGCAAGCGCTTCTTCGAGCAATCGAGCCGTACAAGAACGGACAGAATCCAGTGAGTAGCTTACGAAATGGCCGCATTACTTCGACTCCGTCTTATAAAAGCCGCCAATTTACCACTGCTCGGATTACCTACGTGAATGCACGAGCAGCCATGTAAAGAACGAGCGTTTTACAGGCTTAGCGTTACGCGAGCGGTTGCTATCTCGAATGTAACCAAATTCTGACCTTCTGACATACTCGGCGTTCCATCACAATGTTGGCATAGCTAGACACAGCAAACGCGAGGTTTAGGAATTATTCCAAATATATCGCTTGTTTAGTATTATCAGGCTTGATCGCGTTATCCACTCATAGCCAGAAACGTGAATAATATAAGAGTCGGTCACGAGGTACACTGTCACCCAGTGTCCCAAAATTGAGTTTTGTCTTGGTTGTCAGAGGGGAAAATTGCCCACCAAAAAGAGGGGAGAGAGTGGAAAACTGCTGATTCGATTAGATCAAAAAGGAGTGAGAAATGACAAAAAGCATGCATTTTATTCTAGGGTGTAGAATGTTTGATGCTAACTGGGCATCCCCACAACTGTCTTTCTATAGGTAAAAAATCTATGTTTTCTTGGTTGGGACTTGGGAGTGGAAAATTGTTCTTAAAAATGGTGGTGAGAGTGGAAAATGAATTTCATTTGGATGTCGTTTCCCACCCAAATAGACAAAGTTTGGGACATTGCTGTCACCCAATCGCACATGCATCGACGAACGTCAACAAGAAACTAGGGACCCTTACATTGAGGATATCAACCGACAAATATCTAAACAATATCTTTCCATCGCTCAAAGGGCTCAAACGCACACCTAAGCCCTACTTGCGCTGGAGAGGTAGCGCCGAGGTCCCGACGGCGTTTTTGGGCCTTCGACACATTGCAATGTGCCAAAAAGGCCCGTACCGGCTGCCGGTGCGTCTTTCAGAGTTCAGACCGGCACGTGCTTACATCCACCAGCCGCACCGACAAATGACCCAGAGTCGTGTGACGGACATTCAAGGGCGGCCTGTCCCGCCGGCAGGCCGGCGTCGCATAGCCGACGCGTCTCGATGACCGACGCTGCGCGCCGATCGGCGACACCGACGGATTCGACCGACGGCGCCGCATGGCCCACGCCAGGTCACAATGCAGTGGCGTCGGCAGGCACAACTGGCCAGATTGGCAAGAACGCCGGCGTTTCGCATCTGCAGTCAGCACTGACAGGTTGCAAAAAGAAAAGCCCGCCCTCGACATGGAGTGGAAGCAACAAATGAAGATGCAAGTGCCTTCGGCACAGGGGAAAAAAATGTTGGTGTGGACCTGGTTGTTTTGAGTTGTTGAATAGCGGGCCGAAGAGCAATGTTAGTCTGTCAGTTACTCTGTCAGGCGCGTCACCTAAAGCTCTCGACGCATGTTGTAACATTTGTTACTCTGTCAAAGAATCATCACTTGCCGGGGCGATACGAAGCCGTGGGAACAGAACAGCCGAACAACGCGCAGTTTGCAAGTTCTTCCAAAACACTCGACTCAAACAAGGTGCCACAGTCTGGTGAACCGTTGACAGACATGTAGACTGACAGCAGCGAAAACCAAAATACCTAACCCACGCTTCACGGAGCCTTTAGCCAAACGCCACTGCTTGAAGGAGGGGGTTCGTCTTCCGCGACATTGTCTACGAAATAAACCATTGCATAGAAGCCCAAAAGGCGGAGATGGGAATTTTTCGTTGGTTTATGTTTGGGATTTTGAGGGTATTATACAAAAAAAAAACTTTTTGGTGTCAAAATCGAAAATTTTCGAAAAATTATAGATAGCAGTTTTGTAGCCCTGATGATTTTACTTTTTTGTACAGAACATTTTCTGTGACTTTAAAAAGCTGTAGGTGTAACAGCTCTTTCCGCAAAACTTCTTTAGAGTCGAAAATGCCCAGAGGGATCCTGAAAGCTTGATGACGATATCTCCAACACTTACGGAGATATCGACAGAGATATCGACAGGGGGACGTTTCGCCCCCCCCCCTCCCATCACGGGGCGCGGGTTTAGCCGAAAACTGGTCTCCCTGATGACACTCTACCCAAACAGAAAGCCTCTTGGCGTAACCCTATTGCTAACTTAGTAACTTGGGTGCACAAAACTTTCAGTCAGTTCTCAAATCTGTGGTCAATGGTCATTCTTAGAAAGAAAGCTATGCACCTCAATAGATCCATATTGGGCAAATTGCCTATAAGCTACAGTAACGTTTAAATTTGAGCATGTCAAAGACGCGTTGCACATCCCTGAGCATCTCAGTACACTGCAATTTCGCATTGAGATCTAATCTTTGAGCTAGAAAAATGTCATCTTGAATGAAATCGAGTCACGAATGCTGCGTTACCACTGACATTGTGTAACCAAAGGTCGCTGCTTAAAATATTTGAAATATTACTGAGTGCTCATAGCAAGTAACTGGGATGGAATAGGCTTTTCCACACACTGCATGATGGACCGGTTCCAACATTGCTAAGATACGCAGTCAGTGTTTAGCCCAGAACGACGAATAACAATATGCCGCAAACAACGCATCTTCTGCTTATTCCCCTTTCATCGATGGCTGCAGAGTGGAACGGGCTGCTGCCGGTGGGAGCGGGGGGAGAGGAGTGGAAGGGGTGGGCCCTCTCCCACCGGTCAGGCACACCGGCGGGGGTATAAGAGAGAGCCGGCAGCCGGCCAGTGCACGCAGAGAGCAGCCCAGGCCACACGCGCAAACACGCACTCTTCTAGATCACCGTCATCATGAAGCTGGTGAGCTTCACGCCGACGCCTATCGGTTCAAAGAGAAGCCGAGCTACCCATTTTGGAACTGGACTTGCAATAGGGTCAGACCGACAGTTTCACCGTATTTCCGTGTGAAATGGAAACACGGAAGGCAAAAAGAAAGCTTCAGAATATCGAGTGCAGTGATTTCGAAAGCTGTTGACAGATTCAACTTATAAACAGCAATGCCACTTGCAGGGAAGAGAAAGTTGTAAACGGTGGTGCATATTTTGATATTGCTCTTATTTCAAGCTCAACTGTACTAATGAAACCGTAACCATGACAACGATATTCTTCCCAACAGTTTGTTGCCTGCTGTCTGCTGGCGATGGCCAGCGCCGCTCCCCAGCTGATTCAGAACACCAGCCCCATCAACGTTGGACAGCCACAAGTGCGGATCTTGTCAGAACGGTTCGAGAATGACGACTCTGGTAACTACGAGTTCAGCTACGAACAGGACAACGGACAACGGGTGAGGACAGTTCTTGATTCTAAAAAAAAAAACTGGCATTGGTTGTGTGAAACTGTCGATTTGCGTTACGTCTTTCTTTCAAGAGGAGAAAAACTTCACTGGAGTTTTAACTTAAAAATGCAGTTTCATTCCAAAATCGTATTTTGGAACACAGGGCGACCGTTTATGGCTCAAGCACTTAGGGTCTGGAAGTGATGAGACCGCCATTGCACGGCCTGGTACTGATCTAAAATGCCGCAATTTACCTGCAACACCCTGCATGTAAATTAATTTTGTTTGTTCTTTCAGATGGAGGAGATTGGCCGGTTCCAGCCGGGTCCCGAGCCGAAGACGGGCTCCCTCAGCCAGCAAGGTAGCTACGAGTATGTCGGCGACGACGGCAATACCTACCAGGTGTCGTACGTGGCCGACGTCAACGGCTTCCAGCCGCAGGCCAACCACCTGCCGGTGGCGCCGCAGCAGATTGAGGCGTACGCCCAGCTGAGGGCTGACTTCCCACAGCTGTTCTGGGCAGAGGGGCTGAGCGCTGGCCGACAAGTGGACGAATTCGGACAGCCTACCTTCGAGAACCGCGGCGACCGCATCACCCGCTAGACGGACTCGGTAGCGTCGCGCCCCGACAGACTAGTCTCAGACTCTGCGCCGATAGACTGGTCTCTTGTTTCTGCCCTGGGACTGTTACCCGACATTGCTTGGACCGCAGGCTATTGCCGCGGTCGACGATATTGGAATAATGAGCTCAATGTATATAATATACTTGTGAACTGAATGTGTTGGTTCTGATGTCAAAAAAGGAAGAAAGAAAAGAAACCAAGCGATTGTTGGCCTGGGGTCAGTAGCGGCGGAACACCTTCAAATAAGGGGGGGGGGGCACTGCCGACTTTTGGTCCCATCCCATCCTTTCCATGCAACGCCCATAGGGCTAATGTTAAAATGCCTAAATCAAAGGGGGCACGGTGCCCCGGTGCCCTCCCGGTTCCGCCGCCTATGCCTGGGCTCGGGTTACAAAGCGAGTGACTGATAGCATAGGAAGGAAATGCAGACATGCGTGCATCAACCAAGCATAGAGCACACAGCTAAGGCGAAAACTAAAAACTCATCTCTATAGACAATTCATCAACCTATTATCCAAAGCATAAGATAATGGAGGACAACATGGATGTAATATTTTGGACCATACTGAACCATATAGAACCGCTCTGCGAACACAAATCAACATTTTATTTAACCCAATTCTGGGCGGGCTATGAAAGGTTTGGTTTCGGGAGGGGGAGGAATTTTCGGCTCCAAACCTCACATCTAAAAAAAAAATGAAAACACGCATTAGAGCGACAAATGGTAAACGGTGTTTGGTAGTTCGTTGAAAAGACCTACAACATAATAAAACACTTTCGGGTCAGGTCAACATTGAGTTCATTCGAAAAATAGAGATGTGAAAATTAAATGAAAATGACGTGTTTCTTCACGACGGGTAGAAACATGAACTTGATGACCTTCATAGGTCAATATCAAACTTTGACAAGTCGAGGTCAGTTCATGACCCAATAAGGCTGTGTGGTATATCAGTCGACGCGCAATGACCAGGCAAGAAGTTTCGGTCCATTTACGAGTCATTAGCACCACCATATTGTGATTTATTGACAAAAAAATATTGATGACCTCGCATGGCCTCGGATGATCTTTTCAGGTGCTCCGTTATTTAACGGCAACTGGATCATAATAGATGAGATAATAAGCCAGAATCCCGAAATAATTGGGTGGTTTTGAATTGTTAACTCTAAACAGGGCGCATTTCAAAACTTCCCATTAGCTTCTTGCATAAAGATCACGAATTTGACCTGACCTCAGGTCACATTTATGATAATTAAGTGACACAACTTAAGGCCGCCCCACACTGGACCTCGCAAGCGGGTTGTGAGTTTTTGGGTTTTCGGGTTTCTTTAAAATTAAATAATACAATCTAGGCTGAGTGACCCACACTACCATCTAACAAGCGAGTCTGCATGTTTTTAGCTTGCGAGTGACCTTGCATCGCATTCCAAAAGTTGATTTTGAGTCAACTTTCGATTTTCCTCGCTGCGAGGTCTGCGAGTTCTGCAAGGTTTGCGGGTTTTTCGTTGGAGTCGAATTTTGGTTCCTTGCGCTGATATTGCGACTGCATGTAAGTTTCTGAAGGTGTACCGGTTTAACTGCATGCATGAAGTTACCATAAGGGAGCGGTCTAATCACTCTATGAATTAGTATTATGCCCGCAAACTCAAAACCCGCAAACTCGCAACCCGCATGCGAGTTCCAGTGTGGGGCGGGCGGCCTTTAAAAATACTGGTAGGGTAGGGTGGGGTAATTTGAACATGTGGGGCAATTTGAACATAGTGTGAATAACACAAAATTACGGAAAATCCATAAGTGGCATGACAATAAGACCAATGAGAGAAATTATCGTAACTAAAAGGGCTATCATATGAACGGGGCTTAAAGTTTCAGGGAATGAAAATGTTGACGCACAGTGTAAAAAATCAACTTCGCAAGGATAAACGCCTAACAACACGTCATTGCAACTTCATTGCAGCGCAAAATCTTGCATTGCTAGCGTCTAATGCGCAACGGCTTTTGTTGTACAATGACCTAATCAGTGCCTTCAATCCAAGAAATTTGCTTTTGAACCCTGTTTTTAAAAATTGCAAAATAACTTTTAGCGTGGGGTAATTTGAACATAGTGTGAGAATTTCAATGAAGACAGGGATAGCTCCGAAAAAACAACGCTCCCAGTTTTTTTTTGTGCCAATATTTTTGACCCAAAGCAGTAGCAGATAAGTGATGCCAGTTTTAGAAAATTTACGTCTAATATCCGTCTAATGTCTGGCATTTTCGTTGATTTTCCGTCCAAAATGTTAAAGTCAACTATTTGTCCAAATATGTCCGAAAATTATGCAGCTATCAACACTCAAAACCGTCATTTATATTGCTTATCATGTAATTTTACCAGCCGGAAAGTGTTCATTATATTGAGAGCTTAACAAGCTTTCCATTCGCCAATCAATGCTACGCACGATTACTTGATAAAAATGCTTAAGTGTGGCAGGCCATCGTCCAACGTTGTCCAGACGTCTATACCTTTGTGCAATCAATTCTGAATTGGACATTATAAAGAATCGGAACTCCGAATGTCCAGGTTCCGATTGGCACCACTATAACAGATGAAGTAAGGTTTGGTAGAGTTTTTATCGAACGGAGATGATAGACGTTCTGTTAATTGAAGAGAGGCGAATTCTGTCAACTGACCGGTGTGCAGCGTGCAGATATTGATACTCTGCAACTCTTATTTTTGTTGTTGTGTTGATTTTTCCAATGATGGTATTTTTATAATTGCTCTGCCTATTTGTTTATGGGTCAAACAACATCGGTGCTGGCGAGACTATCTTTTTTATGGCAGGTAAAGACAGTATGTTCAAATTACCCCACGGTGGGGCAATTTGAACACACCGTGACTTGGTGGAGAAGTGATGCTATGCTATTCAAGGTATGCTCGGCTCGTCCAAAAATGAGGCTTGCATGGTGAAAGCAAGTGACACATGCGCTACTGAAACAGTTTTTCTTCATCCAGGGTTGAGCTGGAATTTGGTACAACGGAGAAGACGTAAAAATATGTTCAAATTACCCCACACTACCCTACCCTAAAGATAATCTGACGAGAAGAAAGCGCTACGTCAAAAACTCTATCTCTGGCGTGATTGCAAACATTTCTGAGGTGGGCTAAAAAAACACTCTGGTGACCTGACCTGACCTGACCTCGAGTCCGCGTTCTCATCAACGGCAACCTACCAACCGAGCATGCAGCCCGAAACGGACCAACAGAGAAACCAAAGCTTGTCAAACTAAGTTAGCCATGCTCTACAGGGGAAAAACAACAACAGGCGAAAAATGAACGAAAGGTTCAAGTGTTTGACTTAACCTTCGCCCCAGTGGGGGGGGGGGGGGGGGCATATGTTACCACCCTGTCGCGTTTTTTGCGTGTGACGCTTGGAGTAGTTTTTTGCACACATCAATTTTGGACAATGTGTGAAATTTTTGACCCCAGGTCATGTTAGGTCAGGTCACCAGGTCAAGTTAACTGACCAAGCCTCAAAAAAGTTTGCAATGATGTCCAGCCTGCAGTGTTTGTCAGAGAGGTTTTAAACTTGGTGAATTGCATGATGTTATGGGTGCCTACAATTTGTTTATCTCGGATTTTTTATATGCGTGACCTAAGGTCAGGTCAGTGGCGTGACCTTTCAATTATAAGTCAATGGAGAAAAACGAAAATGCCTCTAGATCCGTGTGTACGCATAGGAACAGTCTACATATTTCAGAATCACAATGATTTGGACCATCCGTGACGACCAAGGTGTCTTTTTTTTGCTGATAGCCTCTAGAAAGGTCATCCGAGATCATTTGAGGCTACAAACAGCTTTTTGCCAATAACTCTCGATTGGAAAGAGATAGAACGCTGGAGTTGGCCTCTTTGTGTTTGTCTTGCCCAGACGCATCGACTGATATGCAACATGACTTTTTCCGGTCAGGTCATGACCTTGACCTGATGTCAAATTTTGAGGTTGACCTTTCAAGGTCAAATTATAGTTCATTCGACGCGTCTCAGCGAGAGGAACACGATTCTGGCAATAGAAATGTCCTAGCTTTTTTAGTCAAAAGTTATTGCCGAAAAACACTTTTCGTAAAAACAGCTATTTTTGGAGTTTTTGCCCTCTGGAGGCTAAACCATTGACCTGAGGTCATTTTTGATGATGACCTTTTAAAAAGAAGAGTTCAAAAGCTATCGATTGTTATTTCCAGCGTTTTTCTAGCTATCATATTTCCTGAGATAATGGCATGTTTTCTGAAAAATATAATGACAATTCGCAAATTTTGACCTTTGATGACCTCTGGTGACCCCAATATTGCTCTAAGATGAAAAATGACCGAAATACTTTCAAACGTACGCATTGAGAGCTATCGACTGCTTTTTACCGCGTCTTTCTAGCCCTCTTAGTTTTTGAGTTAGAGGTGGGTGGTAACATATGCCCCCCCCCCCACTAGGGCGAAGTTGGCTGAGACCGTCACTGGGGCGCGGGTTAACCCGCGCGGGGCTGGGGGGGGGTAAATTTTACCCCCCCTCGCGAATTTTTGCGATATCTCAAAAACGGCGGCGCGCAGCGCCGCCAAACTTTCAGTACCTACCTTTTCTTACATCAATTTGACACGTTCTCTGAAAATTTGAGCGAAATCCGTCGGAAAATTTTTGAGAAATTGACGTTTTAGTGACGTCATGTTCGCCATTTTCGCTTCAAAAACGGCAAAAGTTCAAACGCCGCTAACATCTTCATTTTTAAAGGAATCAAGACGTAACAAAAAAGGTTATACGTAATTTTACTTTGTCTATCAAATGGCTATCTCGTTTTTTTGAAACTTTTGGTTTTTGGCCTAAATTTTTTCAAAAAACTGACTTTTTTTGGGATATCATTATAAAATCCAAAATTTTGAGTCTATCGAAAAAAACGGAATATATGTCAGAGAAGTGGTCTATGTGCACCTACATACCAAATTTTAGAAGAATCGGTTCAAAAATGTGGGAGTTATTCAAAATTTTATGACGTCACGACACACAAATTTTTTGAAAAATGACTTTTTTGGAAGTTCTAGACCTCGTATGGAAACAAAAATAGCACCATTCGATTCGCCGTGAAAAACTGCATCAGATAAACACCTTTTTAGGCCTTAACCCGCGCACCGACG